AATAAAATACCTCGAAATGAACGAATATGTGAACTTTGTAATATGAACGCCGTTATTTCAAAGTGAATCTAATGTAACTATTAGAAATCTGGCAATTTTTATTAAAAAAGGATTGGCAGTTAGAGCTGAAATGCTCGAAATATGACAAGACTATAATATTGATATCAATTTGGTTTACGTAATATAGGAATGTATATATGTTAATCAAATTGTACATAATGATGGATATTTTCTTATATATATTATAAATTATAATTATATTTATTGTACTATAGGCTTGAGGCCACAGAGTACTGAATAAAAGTTTTCCTTTTCCTTATAGAGGAGCGGGATGAGAAAGGTATAGAAGAGCGGCGTGAGGAAGGTATAGAGGGACGAGCGGGATGAGGAAGGTATTAAGGACGGGATGAAGAAGGTAAAGAGGAGCGGGAGGAGGAAGGTATAGAGGGAGGAGCGGGATGAGGAAGGTATAGTGGAGCAGGAGGAGGAAGGTATAGAGGAGGGGGAGGAGGAAGTTATAAAGGAGCGGGATGAGGAAGGTATTAAGGGTGGGATGAAGAAGGTAAAGAGGAGCGAGAGGAGGAAAGTATAGAGGGAGGAGTGGGATGAGGAAGGTATAGAGGAGGGGGAGGAGGAAGGTATAGAGGAGCGGGAGGAGGAAGGTATAGAGGAGCGGGATGAGGAAGGCAAAGAGGAGCGAGAGGAGGAAAGTATAGAGGGAGGAGTGGGAGGAGGAAGGTATAGAGGAGGGGGAGGAGGAAGTTATAAAGGAGCGGGATGAGGAAGGTATTAAGGGCGGGATGAAGAAGGTAAAGAGGAGCGAGAGGAGGAAAGTATAGAGGGAGGAGTGGGATGAGGAAGGTATAGAGGAGCGGGAGGAGGAAGGTATAGAGGAGCGGGATGAGGAAGGTAAAGAGGGAGGAGCGGGATGAGGAAGGTATAGGTTGAAATCTATCTATTTCATGATATACATGTATGTACATTTCCTTACAATATGATAACAATGATTCCTTAATCTTAGTCCTTGGATACTGGATTTCATGGATCGATTGGGAAAGATTTGATCAATAAACGCACTGAAACAACATTGGTCATATGATTATGCGCTATCGCACTTTGTGCAAGCTCACAGCGGAGAGAGTTACAAGGTCTAAATTAAATTGTTCACACATGATAGCTTTAATAACAGGATTAGCATCAAGCAGAGTTAAAGGGATAAGTCTGTTATAGAGTTTTCAATATCTTAAAAACAATATTATATTATTTCTAGAAAATGGCGGGGTGGGTTGTTAACGAGAACAATTCCAACAATTATTAACGTCTGTACATTATGACGTCATAATAGCGCATAGTTAGACATTTCGTTGAAATATCTAAATCAAGACGTGTTTGGTCAATTCTCTGCAATTTACAAAGTTTTTCTAAATTGCATTGTGCAAACGAGTTCAATTAGATTAAAAATAGGTAAGTGGGGAGAGTTTGGTTTGTTTGGTGTTGGTGTTCACCTTAATGTTCACTCCTCCAAATTCTAGAGCAAAAACAATTCATTTTTCACTTTAAATTTTCTTCTGCTTCTTGTCTTCAAAGTATTAACAATCGACGAAATTACAGAAATGTGTTGATTTTGAAATATCCATGGTCAGGAAATATACAAAACTAAAAACCAACTTTCTTGAGAAACTTTTCGGACAAAATAAAGTGTATTATGCGACCCTTTTTAATTTCGAAGTTACAATTTTTTATCTGTATATTTTCTTTTTTTTAGATTCGATAATCATGGAACAAATTCATGAATATTTATTGAAGAATGGGTGGGTAAGAGGTGTGGTGACCCACGGTGAAATGGGTGCTGCTTCTACAAACAACATAGACAAATGGCTTGCTGATTTCGAAAGCAGGAAGTTGAAACCAGTCAGCGGATTTGACGAGATTAAAGATGGCAAAGTTAAATATCTTGAAGAAATATTGACGATGATGCCCATAAAGAAACGGGTTCCTCAACTAGATAAAGGTAAATATTTCGAAGTAGTCCAAGAACTGTTAAGTAGTTGAGCCACAAGCTACCATCGATAGGTCAGCTCTCCTCAGCGCTCCAGTCATTATCAAAGTTACTGGGAGCAAAAATCCACAGCTTTCATTGAATAATCTAAATTCATAGTTAATAAATTGCTGTGTTTTTCAGTAATGGTTGATGGAACAAACGTTCGGGAAAATTTGCTGAAACATGGATGGTTTGTTGTTTCTGCAGAAAGGCTTGATATATTTGGAGCAAGTGTACATCCATCCAACCAGAGCCAGAGAAGAGAGGAGGGGAAATTGGACTTTGGAATGAATGCTAATTGCAATGAAAGCCACCAACTAGACAACATGCAAGAGCCCAAAGGAGATGTTGAAAAACTTCTGGACCTGATGGCTTCACAGAAAAAACCCAAGAAATCTGGTAAATGCCGGGGTAAGATTTGATTCCAATTCTATCCATCTGGACATCACTTTGGATGCAATTGCGGGTTAGTTCATAAGATGATAATTATGGACTATACTCTATCGAGGGTTCGCAGGTCATGAGCTATGGCAACTCAGTAGAATTAGTTTTCATCCAAAGGATAGATGATCGAGCTTTGGATAACCTGGTACAAAACAAAGTTGGGCCATTTTCTGTGTTGTTATAACCGATGGCTACTTTATTCATCGCTTGTTAAATATTATATTCTAGGATCAGTAGAAATGGTAAAATTCCAGGAGAATTTGCTGAAACTAGGATGGTTAGGAAAAGATGCCACAGCATCGGATGGAAATTCAGTCGCCGATACCTTATTAGAGGATACTGACAAGATAACAAAACTTGATAGATGGTTTAAAGACTTTGAAGATAAGAGAAACCAAACCATCCAAACCATGAAATATGCTGTTCCTACTGCTGTAAATAAGGATGTAGAAAAGCTTTTGGATATGTTTTCTTCAAAGAAAAGTTCTTTTCAAGCTAATCCAAATCAAGGTAAGGATTGATTTTTTGGGGGTTGCATACATAGTCAATCATCTGTGCTCTGACATTACAATGTAAAATATTCACGTGGCTCCCAAATAAATTAACGTATCCATCATGGCAGTTTTTTTGTGGTCAACCAAATCTAGTTCACTGGCTCACTTTGCCCTGACGCCTAAATCCAAATGTTCGAAAAATAGCCTTTCCAAAATTACTTCTTTCCTGAAGAAAATGTTATATTAATACCAGAAGTAGAATTTCTTACAATTTTAGTTGTACAAGATATAATTATGATTGTTCTGTTAATTTGTAGAGCCAATGGACAAACTTAAACTTAGAGAGAATCTTCTAGCAAATGGATGGTATGCTGCACCTAACATCAAACTGCCAGGACTTGCAGCTAAAGGAGACAAACGTGAATCTGAAGCAAAATCCATGGAAAATGTCCAGATTTCAGCAGTTCAACAACGCATTGGACAGCTTAACCAGCTTAACGAACAACAAGAGGAGTTGAAAAATAAAAGCTACATTGAACATGTTTTGAATATGGTTGGAGGAAATAAGCCACGAGAAGAAGTAGCTTATCAAAAGGGTAAGGCTATTTCTAATGGGGTATGGTAAAACATTATGGGTCATTGCAATGACAAATCTATACGCCTCACGAACCATGCAGGTATCATGATTTGTAATCGCCTAAAATTTCTCCGGGTTTCAAAGCCAAGAGAATAATGTACCCGCAATCGACTTTTATATTATACATCGTTAATCTTATAATTATCCTTTTTCAGGAAAGGTTGACAAGGAACAGTTAAAGAAGAGTCTTCTGGCTAAAAACTGGTATACCATGGGAATGAAAACCATAAATTCAGTTGACCCTCCTGCTGAAAAACCCAATTTACTTGAAGATTTCAGCAGAACATCAGAGGAAATAAAATGTATTATAAATATACCAAGACAGGCTGATATAAATTACAGTGATAATGAAATTGACAAGACCTTTAATGATGTAGCTACTAAATCCCATGGTAGGTCCTATATTATATTTTTCTTTACATTTTTTTTTCATTATCATCCAAAGAAACGTTGGACCTTTATCACGGAAACCATTATATTACGAATCATCTGGTCTTTTGGACAGGTGAATCAAGATAGTTAATTGTCTTTCTATGAGCAGGTTTGGGAGTTGTGTAGCTACATCATCTTTTTGAACCACCTGGTTGAGAGGATCCGATAAAACTGAGATCATCATTTCATCATTTCCTTTTCTTGTTCTGTGTGCTAATCGATTGAACGTTTTTATTTATAGAAGTTGTTAATGATGAGGTCAATTCAGACAAAATAGTTTTAAAACCACTAGAGGAAAAAGCCGATACAAAAGCTGTATTTCCCCGAATTATTAACAACCAAAAAATGAGTCAGAGGACAATATACAAATGGCGGTTACAATGTCTATCAAATTTGAATTATATTATTATTTCATAATGATCATTTCAGAAAAATCATCAAAGAAAACTAAACCTCATAAAGCTGCCATCAACAGTCTTCATCAACAGGGCTGGCCAGTAAATGAGCAAAATCGGCATCAGATCACAGTAGTTAGAGTTTCCGAATCCACTTACAAGAATGATGATTCAATAGGATATAAGCCAGTTACCATCAAGAGAGATACTAGCAGGGACAGTATTAGACAGGATAGATTCTACAATCCAAGACAGAGTAGAAGAGACATATTTGAGGCTCAAAAGAAAAGTAAAATGGCATCTAGCCAATCCACATCATTAGAAATTGAAGCTGCTGTAACTGGTAAGTAAGCTTAATTCTCAGCTTTGAATCGTTCTGTTGCTATATATACTGTTTACAGCTGACATCGTAAAAATAGCCGTCTAATGATAAGGTGAAATTATATTATTATGGATAATTCATATTGGTTTTTATAATTTCTTTTTAGGTGTGTCTCATAACAAGACTTTGTTTGCAAGATTCATTAGAAGATCTCGAAAATTGATGAGAAGATTTTTCAAGTGTGGAAGGAAAGAGGAATAAATGAATCCAAATATAGATTTTTTTTTTGTGCAGAGAGTGCCTTGTAAATACTATATGAGAGATATATTAAAAATTTATGTTTATGAAAGTATTTTATGTTCAATTACATAAAAGGAATATTATGTCCTTCGCTATCCACACAACATTGAGCTAACGACTGCAATAAAAAAAAATCCATTAAGGCACATTAATTAATGGTCTCAAAAAGGAAAAAGAACCTGAAGTGGGAAACTGCAACAGGTATTCAACTCTAAATCTTGTATTTCTTCCACTTTAACCTCATGACATCTAAATTCAAACAAGGTTGTATAAGGAAGGTATAGAGAAGCGGGAGGAGGAAGCAAGGTATAGAGGAGCGTGGTGAGGAATGTATAGAGGGAGGAGGAAGGTATAGAGGGACGAGCGGGGTGAGCAAGGTATAGTGGGAGTAGCAGGATGAGGAAGGTATAGAGGGAGGAGCGGGATGAGGAAGGTATGGGGGAGGGAGGTATAGAGGTCGGGATGAGGAAGATATAGAAGGGGGAGCAGGATGAGGAGGAGCGGGATGAGGAAGGTATAGAGGGCCGGAATGAGGAAAGTATAGAGGAGCGGGATGAGGAGGAATACTTTACATCGGATGTTATTATAAAATTACCCGGAACAATCTAAGGATAGGATTGTTACCAGCACTGATTCCATATCATAACAAAGTAAACATGCTTAAGGTTCGTCCTCATTATTATTTACATTGGGTAGTATTATATTGAATATGTTGAATATATATTGGCCATGTTTGAGAAGTTTAATTTTATGTTTTTAAGAGGTAGTATCTCTTTAAAAATCAAATACACATATAAGACAAATATTAACTGATTAATTCAATAACAACTAAATTAACCAGGTTAATTACTAAATAATATTTGAAATCTACTCACCATTAATAATCTACTAATTTAGATGTTTTAAGTGATGGGTTGTGTTTAAAAACAGATCACCCTACTGAGTACTGTTTGAAATCTACTCACTATCAATAATCTACTAATTTCGACGTTTTAAGTGATGGGTTGTGTTTAAAAACAGATCACCCTACTGAGTAGTGTTTGAAATCTACTCACTATCAATAATCTACTCATTTCGACGTTTTAAGTGATGGGTTGTGTTTAAAAACAGTTCACCCTACTGAGTAGTGTTTGAAATCTACTCACTATCAATAATCTACTCATTTCGACGTTTTAAGTGATGGGTTGTGTTTAAAAACAGATCACCCTACTGAGTAGTGTTTGAAATCTACTCACTATCAATAATCTACTCATTTCGACGTTTTAAGTGATGGGTTGTGTTTAAAAACAGTTCACCCTACTGAGTAGTGTTTGAAATCTACTCATTATTAATAATCTACCAATTTAGATGTTTTAAGTGATGAGTTGTGTTTATAAACAGTTCACCCTACTGAGTAGTGTTTGAAATCTACTCACTATTAATAATCTACTAATTTAAGTGTTTTAAGTGATGAGTTGTGTTTAGAAACAGTTCACCCTACTGAGTAGTGTTTGAAATCTACTCATTATTAATAATCTACCAATTTAGATGTTTTAAGTGATGAGTTGTGTTTATAAACAGTTCACCCTACTGAGTAGTGTTTGAAATCTACTCACTATTAATAATCTACTAATTTAAGTGTTTTAAGTGATGAGTTGTGTTTAAAAACAGTTCACCCTACTGAGTAGTGTTTGAAATCTACTCATTATTAATAATCTACCAATTTAGATGTTTTAAGTGATGAGTTGTGTTTATAAACAGTTCACCCTACTGAGTAATGTTTGAAATCTACTCACTATTAATAATCTACTAATTTAAGTGTTTTAAGTGATGGGTTGTGTTTAAAAACAGTTCACCCTACTGAGTAGTGTTTGAAATCTACTCATTATTAATAATCTACCAATTTAGATGTTTTAAGTGATGAGTTGTGTTTATAAACAGTTCACCCTACTGAGTAGTGTTTGAAATCTACTCACTATTAATAATCTACTAATTTAAATGTTTTAAGTGATGAGTTGTGTTTAAAAACAGTTCACCCTACTGAGTAGTGTTTGAAATCTACTCATTATTAATAATCTACCAATTTAGATGTTTTAAGTGATGAGTTGTGTTTAAAAACAGTTCACCCTACTGAGTAGTGTTTGAAATCTACTCACTATCAATAATCTACTCATTTCGACGTTTTAAGTGATGAGTTGTGTTTAAAAACAGATCACCCTACTGAGTAGTGTTTGAAATCTACTCACTATCAATAATCTACTCATTTCGACGTTTTAAGTGATGGGTTGTGTTTAAAAACAGTTCACCCTACTGAGTAGTGTTTGAAATCTACTCATTATTAATAATCTACCAATTTAGATGTTTTAAGTGATGAGTTGTGTTTATAAACAGTTCACCCTACTGAGTAGTGTTTGAAATCTACTCACTATTAATAATCTACTAATTTAACGTTTTAAGTGATGAGTTATGGTTAAAAACAGATCACCCTACTGAGTAGTGTTTGAAATCTACTCACTATTAATAATCTATTAATTTACACGTTTTAAGTGATGAGTTGTATTAAAAAACAGTTCACCCTACTGAGTAGTGTTTGAAATTTACCCACTATCAATAATCTTCTAATTTAGACGTTTTAAGTGATGAGCTGTGTTTAAAAACAGTTCACCCTACTGAGTAGTGTTTGAAATCTACTCACTATCAATAATCTACTAATTTAGATGTTTTAGGTGACGAGTCGTGTTTAAAAACAGTTCATCCTACTGAGTAGTGTTTGAAATCTACTCACTATCAATAATCTACTAATTTAGACGTTTTAAGTGATGAGCTGTGTTTAAAAACAGTTCACCCTACTGAGTAGTGTTAGAAATCTAGAAAACTATGGTAGCCTAGTGGGGCCAAACCACATACTGCTTGTAGTATTAACTTCAATTAATAATGGAATATTTTGCACTGTAAGGAACACTTGTCAATCATTGTTTTAGCTTTGAGGTATAAGTCGATCAAATTCAAGATATACAAATAACACTGCAGATATGATTTCTTTATTTTTAGATTAGATGGCAGAATATCAGGATGTCAGTCTTAAACTTTCACTACCGCTGCACAAAGTGAGGTTTTAGAATCACAGAAACTTCCTGTAGGACATTGACCCTTGATACTTCCCAGTAAAAATGAATGTCCACAGAAATCACCGATCTCTGAAAAATTAAATCAAGTTTTTGGAATTTAACAAAAATCATTTAAATTTATAGCGATGATATCTGAAACACTTAATATTGAGACTAAAAGAGCCGAAAGTAAAGCAGTATGTGAATAAAACTTCGAACATGGATCCCATGATAATCGCATGCAGGATAACCTATACGTACTGCCATGCCAATGGGAAAAGCTACGTCTCTGCTAATAATAAGTCATACGAAATTACATGTACCAAATTGCATGTAGAACTATACTTGGCAATATGGCTGAATTCAGTACCACAATTCATGGTGCTGAAACAGATCAACAAATAGTTCATTATCATACTCACTTAAAGTAGGTATACAGGCAGGGCAGCATCCACAGAATCCAGCGTGTTTCACAATGTTGCCATTGGGGCACGGACTAGGAACAGCACACAGAGTACGCCAACATATATCTGGTGGGCATTGTAAAGCAGAAGCCGAAACCGAAGCCACGGCAGTCAATAACAAAATTACTACAAACATTTTTAAGAACACGAGTATGCTTCACAAAGTTAACTGAAATATTTTAGAACTCTTCTGATAAGAAAAAATGACCTTTTGATAAGATGGTAGTACAAAAATATAGATCAACTGAACGACTGTTACGTTCATGTCAAATTTGTATTCTGGTGTATATACCTAAAGACGAGCACTTATCTTTAAATATAATTAGACACACAACGAATAGCATACCGTGTCAATCGTAAGTTCTTATACAAAAAACTAAAAAAAACGTTCTGAATGTGATTTCCAAAAGATAAGGCAATAGAAAGTCAAACCTTATGCCATCATGTTTCGTATTGTATTATTCTATACTTGTCTTACGCTTATCAACGCTAGTGACTGTCCAGACCCAAGTCTCTGTTTAACAATTTACTGTGTTGCTGCAGACAGGTAGTGTCTTGGAGGTACTATAATACAAAATGTCAGTTATTGTGGATGCAATGACAACTGTCAGACAAAAATTATTTCCGATAATTCAGATAATTTATTCAGTCACTAGCCTTAACTCTGCGACTCCTTGACGAAATATCACCAACGGATTAATATTAGAATATATTTGGGTAATGATAAGCAAGAATGACTTTTGATAAGAAGCACGCCTCAAATGTTCAGATCTAACCTATCTTGCCTCAAAACACTTCTTTAAGCAGATACGAAAGGGACTCGGCCACATAACCATGGTTCGATTTTTCATATACATTACTTTGCTGGCGCTAGCCGGAGCTAGTAATTGTCCCGATCCTAGTATCTGTTTAAGGATTTTCTGTGGTGTCGTGGATAGACAATGTTTAGATGGTACTATCATACCCAATGCCGGATTCTGTGGATGTTGTCCAGCTTGCGTTCCTAACCTTAGTAAGTACATGAAATTGTTGATGCAACTCAAATTTGATGCTTATTGGACGCGATTACCCATCTCTTTCATGGATTCACCTCATCAGCATGGAGGCTGAATTCCTGTCCGATTCATCCAATTAGTTAATGTGTAAATAAAGTGTGTTCTATAAGGATGTTGGACGCTTTCTTGCTCTTTTAGAGATGCTACCTCTTCAATCTGGTTTATCTTTGCGGTTGTTTCGAATGGGATGATATTAATAAAGGGATAAGGACTTATGCATGACTGTGCAAGAACAATCAAGTCTGGCTTCGCACTACAAACATAGGCGGTAAACCCAATTAAATTTCATTCATCTCATTTCTAAAATTAAATAAATGGTCGATTTATAAGATAAAATTTAGATAAGTATGGAATTGTGTGTACCACCAACACCAGATGTGAATTTCACATTTCATCCTCCATTGATAAGATCTGAACTAAGACAAAACAATGTAGACATTGACAACATCAATACAAGATGACTGGTTTGATTCTGTTGTTGGCCGTGTCCTTATCGATAGTGTCTGGCGCATGCCCTCCTGACTTATGTTGGAGGATGTTTTGTGTGGCTCCTTCGTCATGTCCGAACGGTCAAATTGTTCCTAAGGCAGGATATTGTGGATGCTGTGCAGCTTGTGTTCCTAATCTTAGTAGGTTCTTTTATGATTGTTGTTTCCTAAACGCTTACATTGAAGAGATGTTGGCTGGTGCGGCTCCCATACAGCGACTGAACTAGATGAGTGGGTATCGTGGACTTAATTGGGTTGGGACCCCTCCCCAAATCTCCCCTAGGAAACCCCTCTTGAAGTCAACGTAATACCTGTTAATGGCATATCTAAAATTTTCAGTCTGTAATTTATGCTAATACACTCATTTATATATTGCTGGTTGCTTAGTTTAATTATAATTGTATAAATTTTAATTTTGTATTTTTTTCTGTAGGTGGGGTCCCCATAATGATGTGGACTTGGTGCAAACAGTTCCAAGTAGTTGAACCAATGCTCTCATATGGTAGTTAATCGTTGACGACCAGATTGTGAAATCTGAGATTAATCACAGGCATCAATCATGCATGGTCCTTATCATAGCAATATACAATGGTGTCGATTTGCCCATGACTAGATCATATCCTGGTCATGGGCACTTTGAAACTATTGAGTATTGCTTATATTATGTAAGATTCAAAGGAAATCGACTCATGATTACTTTACAAAGCGGGAAGGTTTCCATTAAATTCTGGCTTTTGCAAAGTTCGTCTATCGATAAATTTTTTTTTAATTTCAGAAATTGGTGATCCTTGTGGACATACCTTTTTGACCGGAAGTGTTCAAGGTCGTTGTCCAAAAGGAAGTATATGTGACACCACAAGTGTGACATGTAAACCCAGTAAAGTCAGCAACGTTTAGAAGAACTAACTCAGCTTGAAAAGTACAACTGGAGCTCGAATTATGTTTATCATTAAAGTTAATGGGGATGATTGTATAGGTCTTTGTTTTAACCCATAACGTATTGTGTTGGTCACATACAGACAATGCGACAACAATTTAATTAGGCAATGCTAAATAAATCTAAAAACAAATAACATATTCATCACTATAACTCATATTTTCTTCCCATTTGAAGAATAATACCCACGGAATTAAGGTATGCTACATAAATAAGCATACTTGAAATCTGTTAAAATTCAGTCTTTACCATAGCACTTGAGTTGATTTAACGCATGATTATGCGATTCCCCTTATTTCCGTATCAAGTGATCTTCAATAATTATCAATGATTGTTTATTGCCTTTCTCATGTGCATCTGTAGGAGATGAATGTGTATTGTCAGATTGAAGCTTAACGTTATCTTCTAAGATTGAGTCCTTTGTCCCGTCCTTTGCTGTCTGTCGTTTCCGTAAAAAGTGATCTTCAGTAACTACAAATGATTGTTGGTTATCTTCCTCATGTGCAGCTATAGGAGATGAATGTGTATTGTCAGATTGAAGCATAACGTTATCTTCTAAGATTGAGTCCTTTGCATCACTATTTGCTGCCCGTCGTTTTCGTAAAAGGTGATCTTCAATTACTACAAATGATTGTTTGTTATTCTTCTCATGTGCAGCTGCAGGTCTAGAAGATAAATGTGCATTGTCAGATTGGAGTATAAAGTTATCTTCAAAGATTGAGTCCTTTGCATCACTATTTGCTGCACGGCGTTTTCGTAATAAATGGTCTTCAATAATTATCCGTGATTGTTGGTTAGTTGGTCTACTGGATGGTCCAACTTTTGTATCAGAATTTCCATTTGATGTTCGGAGTATTACATGGTCTTCGGTAACAAAAGAGCTCTTTGCGTCTTGAGCTCTACCAGCACCTTCACGCATTACTAAATTATCTTCAATAACGACATTGACACTATTTTTAGAATCAGTCCTCATCATAATGTTATCTTCGAAGACCGAAGCTTTAGGGTTAATTGCACCCTGAATGTCCACAGATCTGGTGGTTGTCTCAGCATCTGCGCGCATAATTACGTGATCTTCAAATACGTTTGAGGCTTTTGCAGATGCTGCATTAGGCTGGTTCTTCAACATGACTTGATCCTCAAAGACATTTTGTCTTGCAGCAACATTCTCAGGGGACGCATTGATTGTGGTTGTTACATCCTTCCACATTGCAATATCATCCTGGATAACACCTGCAGATACCAAATTTCGTGAAACGTCTCGTTTTCTTATCATAATATTATCCTCGTAAACCGAATTGACTTGATCTACACCCATATTTGTTGGTGAAGCCAGATCAGGGTTAACACCTTGGTCCATCTCTTCCTGGTTTTGTCTCATGATGATGTTGTCCTCAAACACATTTGAACACAGGTTGTCATCTTGCTTTAAATCTTCAAATATATCAGCCTTCATTTCTGCTGATGAAGCTGGGTGAGGGTTATCACCTTGATCCAACTCTTCTTCATTGTCATTCATGATGATATCGTCCTCAAACACATTCTGGGTTTTTTCATCTTGCTTCATAGCAATATTATCTTCAAAGATATTGCCCTGTCGCATCATAACATTATCCTCAAAAATGGATAAATCCTTTGGATCCGAGTTGGTCTTCATCATGATGTTGTCCTCAGCAACAGTCGAATCCACATCAGGTTTTCTGTTCATGATGAAATGATCTTCAAAAACGTTTTCCATTTCACGAGGAACAATTGGCTGTCCAGTTGTATCCTCATCTTTCCACCAGTTCGTCTCATCTCCAAATAGTGAAGATTTTTCTGCTGAAGATGGGAGACTTTCTAGTTCTCGCCTCTTGCGTAACATAACATGGTCTTCAAAAATATTCATGGCAGCTGGTGGAGTCGTTGTTTCTGGTTGTGCTTTTATTATAATATCATCCTCAAATATTGTAGCGTCTTTGGACTCTAAAAAAGAAAACAGAACATGGATTCAGTTGAAGATCTAAATGGTTGCCATCTTCTCCAGGGATTCAGATTAAGCATTCCAAGTAAGGAACCAGCTGGGCTCTTAGCAACCAATGTATAGGGTCCCAGGAAAATTTTTAAGGGCCAAGAAAATATTAGCATGTCAGTCTCTATTGTTTGAAACCATCATTGACTGCATGTGTATTACCAATCGTAATATTTCATAATTTGACTCATGTTTTTTGATATTTCAAGTCTTCTGAAAATCGCCAATTCGAATTTTTCTACTTTTTCTAAGCAGACAAGAATCAAATGTCTACAGGGCACTTGCCTGCAGGAAGAGTTTTTTTAATTTAACTGTATTAACAATGTGCAAACTAAAGAAAAGCCACAACCCTCAGTAGGCTTTCTATGTATTGTAATAAATAATACTTTTAAACAATCTAAAAAAATAATCGGTAAAAATCAGGAGACACAGTGACTGAGCTATCGCAATGCGAAATGCCGGTAAACTTGCATGAAAATGTCTTAGTTTACATTTCAGATTCTTTTTAACCCGTACCGCTATTATATGTCTCTTGAAGAAAATAAGAAATACATGTTAAAGAACAATATTTACCCCTGGAATCAATCAATCAAAAAATGGTTAGATCTAATATTTTGCACAAACAAGAAATTCGTGCCCTTATTCAAACGAACACCACGATATTCACCGTGTAAAAGAGTCTTTCAATTGAGCAGATTCAGGGTTCATCGTATATCTGCCATAAAGAGGTATTATCAAAGCAATTGATGTAATATATTTCTTTTGAGAAATATTTCTCATAAAGTTTTCTTACCTTTAACTGGCATTGGGTAGCCTGGTACAATCATCAAGACGAGAATTATTCCAATTCGTAACATGATGGACTCTTGTGTTCTTCAACTGGAAAGGGTCGATGTATTTATAATTAATAATAATATTTCAATTGATGAACTCAATATATATATATACTATTTGGGATCCTGTTAGGGAATTTTATAGGTTCAGAAACCCAACAATTTAATTGGAAGTTAAAAATAACAACCAATGAAAATGGAGATTGCAGAATTGTAAATTCTGGCGATATTAAGGGTGTGATCGAATGTAGGTCAGATAATCTTACGTCAAAATTTAATTGACCAATCAAACTGAGACATATTATTTTTACACCAATTTTGGGTTTGTTTTATATTTAGATAGTCGATAACATCGCATTTTTCAATTTCATCAAAGAAAATCATCTAGCCTTGACTATACAATTACAAAGATGACCTGATATTTTCTATAGATAATTTTTATTATGAAATATATGAATAAAACCGAAAACAAAATTCAAATCATAGCCTGAAATGATTTTAACTTATTTTTGTCACTATCAACTGTGGAGATTATTATTTATTAAATTTATTTCACCCACGGACAAACGACTTCAGAAAAGTTTGATTGGACTCTCGGATGCCCATCCACCAAATGTAGAAAAAACTCGCAATGACACAAAACCCTTATTTGTTGAAATTTCTAGAGGAACACAAATTTAACAAAAGAATACCAACTTTTAACCTCAAAACAAAATTTAGGTTAACAATTTTTAATTATGAATGTTATGTTTTGAATTTGGGTGTTCATTTTATGTTTAAGTATACAGATATTAAGTTTTATCAAGACCGGATGAAAAGAACTGTAGAATTTAACGCGTTTACAAAGAAATGTGAACGGACGTAAGGATTGACGAACGGACATGGATAACGACAATATAGGTATTATAAAGAAAAATGAAATGAATGGAATTTGACATCCTACTCTTCTGCACCTTATTTGGCTTATAGAAAACGGACAACGCCATGCAGTGTGCAATGAGGAGGGTATTTATACTAGGACAGAATTAGCCTACTATAAGGATAAAGGAAAGGTTAGGTATGTATATATGACACACAATAACAGTGATCCAATGATCTTATTTCAGACGTCACAGTTTCCTTTTGTCATGGTTAACTTAACAAATTATTTTTGTGATTATTATCAGCGAGGCGTGGGTGAATGACTTTTGATCAAATGAAAGGAAATATAAGTATACATCTTTTGATTGGTTTACCCTGATTTAGAACGGATGTTATTATTATGTTGTCCTTCCCTGCAGTGACGAAGTATCCAACATTGTCAAGCTATTACGACCTTCGTACTTATGGAAGTAATAGCCTGACATTGTAAAGATGACAATACCTCGACTGCTCGACTCACAAATGATAAGGTATTTCAGGAGGTATTGACATGGAACTAAATAGGTTGAATTTGAAATGACACAGGAGGTGTGCGCATTGGAACATGAAAGGCGACTTTTCGTCCGTACTGGACGATATTGTCGTTTAACATTCAACATTAAGTTGATATTTCCGTGTGTAATTATCTTGAAAATAAGAATTAACCGCTACACTACCCATTGTTCTTACTCAATGAAGCACGACGTATTGTTGATTAGTAATGTACGAAGATGTAAATGTTTTAATATTTGCCCAGTGTCCGCAAACATAATTTACCATTTCTGAATTCGGTATAGGGGAAGGAACTCCGATAGTGATAGTGGCATTGATTTTCAAGCTTATGATTCGATTCGATTAGGTTAATTTGAGAGGGAAAAGGTTTCTGATGGGTGGTGGTTGTTTTTTTTCACGATATTCTCCATTTGAACAAGTATCGTATTATATCAACAAATGATAACTAACTATACCTTACAGAGGTTTACTCTCTGTGATTATTAACTATACTTTACAGAGCTTTGCTTTCTTTGATTTTTAACAAATTTTACAGAGCTTTGTTTCTGTGGATATTAACTTTTCAGAGTCAGTCTTTTAAACGAATGATAACTAACTATACCTTACAGAGGTTTGCTCTCTGTGATTATTAACTATACCTTACAGAGGTTTGCTCTCTGTGATTATTAACTATACTTTACAGAGTCAGGCTGATTATACTTTACAGACTTGGGTTTCTTCACCTCTGATAACTTCACCTCTGATAACTAATTATACTTTACAGAGTCAGGCTTTTCAACCAATGATAACTAATTATACTTTACAGACTCGGGTTTCTTCACCCCTGATAACTAATTATACTTTACAGAGTCGGAATTTTTACTCATGAGAACTTATTATACTTTACAGACTCGGGTGTTTCTTCACCCCTGATAACTAATTATACTTTACAGAGTCGGGCTTTTCACTCATGATAACGTATTATACTTTACAGACTCAGGTTTCTTTACCTCTGATAACTAATTATACTTTACAGAGTCGGGCTTTTCACTCATGAGAACTTATTATACTTTACAGACTCGGGTTTCTTCACCTCTGATAACTTCACCTCTGATAACTAATTATACTTTACAGACTCGGGTTTCTTCACCTCTGATAACTAATTATACTTTACAGAGTCAGGCTTTTCAACCAATGATAACTAATTATACTGTACAGACTCGGGTTTCTTCACCCCTGATAACTAATTATACTTTATAGAGTCGGAATTTTTACTCATGAGAACTTATTATACTTTACAGACTCGGGCGTTTCTTCACCCCTGATAGCTAATTATACTTTACAGAGTCGGGCTTTTCACTCATGAGAACTTATTATACTTTACAGAATCAGGTTTCTTCACCTCTGAGAACTAATTATACTTTACAGAGTTGTGATTTTCCAAGCATTTGGTTTCGTTTCGCAAAACAGTCATAATAAAATTATTGAAATAATATAATTCATAAATAAAATATAACTTCCCTGGCAACTGAAAAATATGATAAAGCATTGAGATGAAATATTCATGTGTATAATAAATAACATTACCATAAATTAACAATATTACAAAGTCTACTTTTTCTCTCGTAAATTACCTGGTTTTTCAAACACATCATGCAAAACAAAATGGTCAAATTAAAATATTAAAAATATCTAATTTACAAATAAATATATAACTTCTTTTTCCACTGAAAAATAAAATGTTAAAACAATCATAATGTAACAAATGTGGGCATGTAATAAACAAAATGTTCATAAATTAAAAATATTACAAATTCTACCTTTTCTCTCGTAAATTACCTGGTTTTTCAAAAACATCATGCAAAACAAAATAGAGAAAATATCGAAATCATCTAATTTACAAGTAGAAAATATTACTTCTTCTTCCACTGAAAAAAAAAAACCAACAAAACATAAATCTGTTGTCAAACTGTTGTGAATTGCCTCCTACACACTTGTAGGTTATTAGCACTACAATGCTAATGACTGGAAGTAATTAATCATACTCCATTCCAATACACTCTCTACGTTTTCATCGCGTGGCACCCAATGATGAAATTCTAAATAATGTGCAGTAGGCCATTCAAACCCCGACTCTACTCTAGTAAGCACGATGAATGTCTAGCATAAAATATTCAATAGAAAAGCAGAAAATATAGGCTGAGAATTTCAGTCGATACGAGTATTTGAAGTCTTCAATTGTTGGAATGAAAGTATTGAACAGTTGTAAGATAGACTGAACGAGTAAATCATGAGGCCTCGAGGCTATTTGCTATAAGGTTCGTCACTGGAATATGTTTCATTATTGGATTATAGTTTGACACGGTTTAGAACAGTGTAGCGGTATTTAACGGTCTTAATGGAGTCCGGTTTATTTACCTTTTCCATGGGACAGGTGTTTTCCTGTTGTGCTAGTGAGGAAGTGTGACATATTTAGTGTATGAGGTTTTATGTTGATCGATGTTAGAAGATAGATTCTGGAATATATATCTATAACGACTGTCACAAGCAGCTATTATAATATATATAACATGTAAGTAAAATCATGAATACTACTCTTGACTTTAATGGCGGGTTCTGGCAAATAACTCCGTTGATGTGTACGAGTTGCTATCTGACTTGGCATGGTAACAATACTAAAAGTACATTGTTGAGTCTCTCTAGCTTAAAAGACAGTCTCTCTAATATGCCCATTAACGCTGTTTAGATCTCTATCAACGTAAGGCAGGATGCCATCTTTAAGAATATGTCTGCCTTAATAAATTAATTCAAAAGGTATGAAATGGAGATATTTGTTTATACTTTTGATTTAACCCTCCTTCCTTAAAACATCTCACACAATGGGAAACATCAGTAGAAGCTAGTTGGCCTGTCTTCTAGTTGGTTATGTGCTATACATTCAAATGTTTTATAGGAAATAATCTGATTCCACGGCCAGTTTTTCCGAGAAGAGGTTTGACTTTTACCCTTCACACAATTTAACTATAATAATTATAAGTAAGGTGCTAACTTTTTCTGCTACTTATTTCAAAGTAGGCCTACTTCTTGACTAAAAAATGATGCCAGTATTTAATATGAAGCCATAAGACACGAGAGTGACAAATTTAAAACCACGATCGTGTTATCTGACTATTTAAAAACCCATAAATTTCCGTTCTGTGATCTTCATATCACCGGGGCACTGCTAGATCGATATCCAATCAATTATTTAAATATCAATTGAAATAAAACAAGTGTAGAACGCACTATTTAATTGTTGTAGGATAATTTTAGATTGATAGTAATTAATAATTGATGAAATTCCGAAGTGAAAATCCTGAATCTGATAAGTATAGTTAGCTATAATTGGCGTGATCTTAGGGTATTTTTAGGTGAAGGTATAGCATGTTTTCGGAAAAGATGTCCCAGTTTTCCTAATTCCTTATCCTGGGCAAATAAAAACTGACTCCGTAAAGTTTAGTTAGTTATTAAGTGTGAAAAATATATTACTTATCGTGGCCGAAAAAAACCTGACTAAACCCGGTGCGAAAATTATGGTAAGTTATCACGGGTTATCATGTGTGGAAAATCACGACTCTGTAAAGTATAATTAG